GAACACCACACCCACCCCACATCCACCGAACTTGTTGCGTTCTGGTCACCCTTACCCCCATCTTTGAATACCATATCTTTTTTCTCTTTCAATGGTCAACGGTTTTTTGAGTTTTTGACAGCCTACACCACCCTTTCCCCTCTCTTTTCTTTGTTTTGTTATTTGCGAGTCTGGCTAGGTAGTCGATTGGTTCAGTGTTGATTGGTCTCGACCCTACCCTACCTTCTTACGTCCACCTTCTGCTTCCTTCTTCTAATTATGCATCCTTCTGCAATTGGCCGCCCTCTCTCTCTATATGCTTACTCCCCATCACTCCTCGCGACCTGAGACTCGCTCGCTTGGCTTATGGTTTCTTTAATATCTCTTTTGTTTAATACCTCAATATAACTCTACGCAAACATGACGCAAATGCAATGTACTCGTACGTTGTTGAGTTCCACAACACGAAACTACACAGCGCACCAGTACTACATGGAACTCCACACAAAGTACACCTATTTTGTCCGAGTTTGTAACAAGAAGGGCACGAATGGAGTAACGGAGGTAATGGCGAGTCCGAGTCGGAAGCCGAAATTAGTCAGGAACTTCGAAGGGTTGGACCCTTGGAACTTTGGGAGTCCCAAGAACCCGAGTCGGTTCGGAAGCGCCAAGACTTAGATTGGAGGGAGCCAAGAGGGAGCTCGAGGAAGAGTGGGTGAGTTAGCCAGGAAGCGGTACGGGGTGGATGTACGACCTAGTCAATGTGCGGTCCACGTCAGGCTGCACCTCAGTAGAGTTGCTTTGATTGATCATGAGCTCGGTTGCTTGAAGGGGACCTCGGGCACCCCATACTAGTACTATAGTAGTAGTACTAGCAGTGGACGGTCACATTGCGGAGATGGTGTATGACGGGCCAATAGCGGAGATGTTATATGACAGGCCAATGGCGCGCGTTCATAGGAGATAGGTTTCTTGTTGGGATACCGCCTTGTTACAGTCATGGAGTAGTGAGGGTAGCCATACGAATCGTCGCTTCTGTCCAGCAAACCACCTTCCAAGAGGCTGGTGTCCGTGGTGGGGCAGGTGGGTGGGTTGGTGATGAACGAACATTCAACTGGGGAACTAAGCTGCTCAAGGTAGCGCGCAGCACACCACACAGGTGCGTCGGTTTAAATGCGAAAAAGGATTCTGGCAATTGCAGAAAGTACTAGCAAACACAAATCGTCGGACGGAATGAGGTGTCAAGCGCAAGAAATGAGCCCTAAGGAGAAGACCAAGGGGGTGACGGAGGAAGCTGTGACTACCTTACAAGATGCGTGGTTTGAGTTCTCGTGTGCTACCATGAACAAAACTTTGAGCCTCTTGCCATCGGGTAGCACGTCGCAAATGTTTGGGTTGCGTCGTTCGAATTGGGAAACCTCGACCGACAGTGGAGATCAGGATGCAAGGCGGGATGTGATTTGGGGTCATGTAGGCGCAGGAAGTACTGCCAGCGGCCAAACGCCATGAATATCATCAATTTAAAGGATGAGATGTGCGAAAACGACGCAAGACAAAAGGACCAAGATGAATGGCAGAGGAGTGCTTGACGGAAGATGTGTGGTTTGAGCTCCTGTCCGTTATTGTGAACGATACCTCGGACTTGGCGGGCTCGAGGTAACAATTGCAATGATTGGGATGCAGAATTGCCATACGAAGGCCCTCCGATTCAGGTGAAGTCTTGATCGATAGAAGGGGCCGGGATAGTATGAAGGCAAGGTAGGGACGATATCCTGCCAAAGACAAAATGGATGGCGAAGGAACGGGCCACGAGTAAAAGGTCAAGAGCATGGAGGAGGACGTGGCGAGATGTAGCCGGGAGACAAGGAAGAATTGTGATGCCACACGCGATATAGATGGTCAAGATGCATTATGTTAACGTGGAGCCGCAAGGAAACTAAGAGGATGAAGGATTGCTTTGAGCTTTCGTCCGTTACCGTGAACAAAACGTTGAAGTTGACAAGAGCTGCTCAGGTAGCACGTTCCACATGGGCAATTACAACACTGGAACAGCTCTCTGGAGGTGAAGGCGTTCGGAATAGGAGACCCGCGCATGTCGGAACCCAAGGGGGTAAAGATTCGAACTCTAGACGATGCTGGGTAGATGTATGTAGTGGAAGGACTTTCTGCCCAACATGTGCCAATCAAGCCAGAGTTCTTGAATCCGGAATCTCTGGACGACCACTCCAAGATTCAAGTAGAGTGCTCGAACATGTCGGCACGAGCAGGCACGACCGGTGGATAGCGAGTTGGGGTTGCTGCCATTGTCGTTTGTGGTGGTGGTCGAAGGTGTGGATCTCGTGGACGTGGAAGCAGGAGGGGGCCGGGTCAACGAAGAAACGCCCAAAAGCACATCAACCTCACAACACCCATCAAAACAACCAACGTATACTCTGGCATCTGTACCCTGCTCCCACCCCTCCCCACACAACCATGCTGCTGGCTACACCGTGGTGCGTGAGCGGGATACCACCGAACGTTGGCCCGACCAAGGCTGAGGAGATACCCGAAACGAGGATGGGCTCGAACCCTCGCGCACGGGAGAAAACTGCCTCTTCAGATCCTATGGAGGATCGGCTTGTTTTAACTTCATAGTGGGAGTAAGTTCATGACGAGAATATACTCTAAGAGAAAGAACATACACGAACCACTTCCGCGCGCCTTCCACAGCGAAATGCACCATTTCTTCCTGGCTTTCATCTGCATTCCCGAGGAACTTCTTCGCGATGATAAGTTCTGTCTTGCTGGGCATGAGATCTAGCACACCCTGCGGGACGAGTTTGTCTGCCAACGCGAGGTCCGCGTAGATAGTGAGGTTGTGGTGTGTGAGGAGGGGGGAAGAAGGAGTGTTCGCTCAGAGCCCAGCAGGATCGGATAATTCCAAGAAGACGTGAATGGGTGGTGGCTTCAGAGGCTTCAGCTCGCTTCGTCCGAGAGGGGAGATAGTTTGGAGAGGGGCCAGTATTCGCTCAGTTGGGCGACTCATTAGCTTGAGATTAACTTGTCGACAGTGGAGTTGGGAGTGAGCGCACCACTGTCCTCTGCAGACGCATCGGTGTCATCCATGGCCTTGGATTTAGAGAACCGTCATATCCACCGCACTCCCTATGTCCTTGAGCAACCTCGCGACTCCCTGGTAATCCTCAACGTTAATCAACACCCCTCCCCATTAGTGGCCACGCCCTCTTGCAGGGGCGTAGGTTCTCCCGTCGTCCTGTCCAAGAACCAATGAGAGGAAGTGGATGACGGTGTGTCGAGTTCTTCTGCAGATGCCCTAGGCCTGAGGGGAGAGCCTAAGGGGCTGTCCGTGATAGATGCAAATGCAATGTCTGTACGCACCGTAAGCCAAGCATTCAAGCTGATCCCAGTCTATACACTCCAGTTGGCATCTGCAGACGCGCCATTGTCCTTTCTCGCATGCTGAACGCAGGCTGACGATGTATGTATGTATACATGTGAAGCGTCAGCCGCGAATTCCCGCAATGCAGGTTACGGTCCCGATCCTATGATAACGATTCTCCTTGTTGCAAAACGGAAAGAAAGAATGAGGGAGACGCCCGAACATGGGTTGGGGAACTTCGGAGGTGACTATGTGCGCACAATATCAATAGTCCGAGCATTAGAAAAAC